ACACATTTCGTAGATATAAAATACATATACAGTTTAAATCATTGAAAACATGTATAAAACGTTCATCCAGCATAGATAGCAAGTATTCAGATAATATGCACACATAGCACGTAATTTATATAAAATACTTCATATCTATGTGTAAGCTGAAAGTAACTATGCACTCACCTGAAAGGTCGTGACTCAGCACTCGGACAGCGCTTCGATACTCTCACAACGATTTTCCTTCGATAAAGTCTAGTATTGATACCACTAGGGTTTAGTCTAATGATAACCGCGACAAATTAATTGTCTGACTATTATTATTATTATATAAGCATTAATAACACTCAATATAACTCATAATAATAGCCCAAATAATTATTTGAAGGACCTAATAACATTCCTATATTAAAACATAAGCTAAACTAAAGATAGGATAGGTACAACTCACTTACAGCGGGTTTTTCTCGAAAACCGGGCTTCGCTGGAGCAGCGTTCCCGAGCCGAAAGGCACTTTTCTCCAGACTCCGGGAGCCTCGGGGCTTCCTTCGGGTGCTAGGGGGTTTACCTAGGCTTTTAGTGGGGTTAGGGAGCTTAGAGAGGGAGAGTTTAGAGAGAGAAAGAAGAGGGTTGAGGGGTGAGGAAGAGGCTAGACCCGGCACCTCTATTTATAGTGGAGAAATTTGATGAACTCGCCGAGTCTGAGTCATGACTCGCCGAGTTGGTGCATGTGGCAACCTTTTGGTGGTGCCACGTGTCCAATTCTGGTGATGCCACATCACCCCCTATTGCGTATCAGCTTTCAAACTTAGAAAAATCATAACTTTTGCATACGAGCTCTGTTTTCGACGTTCTTTATATCCACGCGTAGGTAAAATCAAGATCTACAACTTTCATTTAGACTCCGCTGGCTAGTTCTCGACCGATCTCAAATTTAACAGTAGGAGGCATTTAGAATGTTAAATGACCGCGAAGAATTCATAACTCCTTCATATGGACTCCGTTTTCGTCTGTGTTTTTACCGTTGAGTTCCTATCAATGAGATCTTTAACTCTCATTTAGGTCGTGTAAGCCAAAAACCGCTCGAACTAAAATTCGAGTTTCGGGTCGTGCACTGCTAAGCCGAATCTTAGAAAAATCATAACTTCTTCATACGAAGTCAAATTTGGGCGTTCTTTTTATGGATTTTCTCAGTTTAACATATGCTACAACTTTCGTTTAGATTGCTAAGTCTAAAAAGTCTTCTACCGTAAATTCACTATTTACGTCTCCCGGTGCCGTGTAGGTTTTGCCGTAAAACTTCGGCGGGCCATAACTTCTTCGTTATATCTCGGATTTTGGTGTTCTTTATATCCCCGGAATTCTTGTTTCGACCACTACGACTTTATGTAGACATATTGGACTTATCTCACACTTTAATTTTGATGCTTATTTTTATTCTTTATTAAATATATATTTATAATAAAGTAATGATCACACAAATACACATAATTCACATAGAATTAAAATATTTCATCTTTATTACATCAAATAGAGTTACAAGAGTTGACCTAGACTATTACATTGACAAAAATGCTTAGCCCTGAAACCCAGGCGTTATACCACAAAACGTTTATATGCTAGTTCTAATATCGTAGTTAAACGCTTAGAATCCTAAACACATAAGGTTTCCAGATCCGGTCGGCAATAGACTATAGATCCGAACAAAAAACAGCATATCAGGCACAAGCATTTAGCACATAAAAGCAATTTAGGCACAATCCCTAAAATAATCTAGTGCTCACACCTCACAATCATCGCTTAGCATTCTAAGTTTAAGTCTAGAAATAAATCCACATTCCTAGTTCGCTTAAACTAATGCTCTGATACCAACTGTGACATTCCCATTTTTACGGCCAGAAAAGACCGATTTTGTTTATGCTTTATAAAAATCATAGTATCTCTTTTAATAAAAATGTTTCGGAATTTGTTCCCAGAAAAACATGATAATCGCGTTATCAAAGCATTTCTAAAGAAATATATTTTTATTCACTTTGAAAACATTTGGGATGTCATCATCAATACAGAAACATAAGCATAAACAGAACTTACATTCATTTACTCTAGTGATCCACATCTCTTTTAAATCTCTTAGTGTAATGTGACTTCATATCAACACCTGTGATATACATAAACTGAGTGGGTCAGGTTGGGAAACCTGGTGAGTACATAGGGTTTTCAGCCCACAATAATATAATTATTATGTTTAAACAATTAAACAATCAACCCAATTACCCATCCCTATTATCTTCTTTATTCTTAAGGATCTACCCTAAGAGTCAGCTATTTCTCATTCATTCATTCCTAAGGATCATCCTAAGGAAACAACATTAAGTCCATTGTTGCCAATGACACATTGGTCAAGCGCAGCTGCTAATCTTGTCACTTAGGTGCAGCTACCAGAATTGGGACATTTTCTATGAGGCGCTTCTGCCGGTATTGACCTTTAAACGCTACTATCATGGTCATAAGGCTCCCTATTAGACACAGCTGCTGATAATGTCCTTAGAGCGCAGTTGCTAGGTCGTTTACCGTAGATCTAAAACATCTACGGGTTGTGGCGCAGCTGCCAGTGCTCCTCTATAGGGTACTAGGTCCACTACTGCCAGTGTATACCTATAGGGCACTAGGTCTATGCTACTAATGTTCCTCCATTTCAGCTTTTATCCCTCATCATTCATCTACCGATGTTTTTCCCAACATATTTTGTATATATATAATACTTTATACAGTTTACATCATTTAAAACATGTATAAAAATCTTTCACCAGCACAGACAGCAAGTATTCAAACAATATGCACACATAACACGTAATTTATAATAAAAATACTTCATATCTATGTGTACGATGAAAGGGACCATGCACTCACCTGATAAGGTGATGACTTGGTACTCGGACAGCCCTTCTTTACTGTTAAAACAATTTCCCTCGGAAAAAACCTAGTATCATTACCACTAGAGTTTCGTCTAATGACAACCGCAACAAATTAATAGTCTAGCTATTAATATTATTATTATATAAGCGTTAAATAACACTCAATATAAATCATAATAATAGCCCAAATAATTATTTTAAGGTCCTAATAACATTACTATATCGAAACATAAGCTATGCTAAAGATAGGGTAGGCGTAGCTCACTTACAGCGGGTTTTCTCGAAAACAGGGCTTCGCTGGAGCAGCGTTCCTGAGCTGAAAGGCTCTTTTCTCGGGACTCCGGGAGCCTTGGGGCTTCCTTCGGGTGCTAAGGGGTTTACCTAGGCTTTAGGGGGGGGGGGGGTTGGGAGGCTAGAGAGAGAAACTAGAGAGAGAAAGTGAGTTTGGGAGGTGTGAAGAGAACTGAATGCCCGACACCACTATTTATAGTGAAAATATCTGATGGGATCACCGAGTAGGGGGACCTACTCGCTGAGTTGGTGCATGTGGTGGCCTTCTGGTGGTGCCACGTGTCCAATTCTGGTGTTGCCACGTCACCCTCTATCGCGTATCAACCTTCAAACTTAGAAAAATCATAACTTTCGCATACGAGTTCCCTTTTTGACGTTCTTTTTTTCAACGCGTAGGTAAAATCAAAATCTACAACTTTCATTTAGACTCCATCAGCTAATTCTCGACCGATCTCAAATTTAACAGTAGGAGGCGTTTAGACTGTTAAATGACCGCGAAGAATTCGTAACTCCTTCATACGGACTCCGTTTTTGTCTAACTTTTTACCGTTGAGTTCCTATTAATGAGATCTTCAACTATCACTTAGGTCGCGTAAGCCAAAAACCGCTCGAACTAAAATTTGAGTTTCAGGCCGTGCAGTATTAAGCCGAATCTTAGAAAAATCATAACTTCTTCATACGAAGTCAGATTTGGGCGTTCTTTTTATGGATTTTCTCGGTTTAACATATTCTACGACTTTCATTTAGATCACTAAGGCTAAAAAGTCCTTCATCATAAATTCACTGTTTACGCTTCCCGGTGTCGTGTCGGTTCCGTCGCGAAACTTCGACGGGCCATAACTTCTTCGTTATAACTCGGATTACGACATTCTTTATATGTATGGAAACCTTGTGACATATTCTAAAAATTGGTTAAGATTTTTTATTCTAAACAATATTTTGTCGAAAAGTCGTTTTCAACCCCTATTGCCTCTAAATTGACTAGCCCGAATCTAAGGGCGTTACAGAAGAATCACTCTCAACCACAGTAAACTACCACGAAACACCACTGGCAACACCCATTTGCCCACCTTATACCTCCGGCAATACGCAGCCTAAGCCCTATTTCCTTGTTGCGACCCACTGCTGCTCTTCTTCCTTTCACTTTATCTACCAACAACTAGAACAAGACCCACAAAGGGTCGTCGGAAAAGAGAGACTGCTCCTCTTGTTTTGCGACAGCCCAACCATCCTCCACACTTTTTGCAACTTCTTTTTCCTTATTTGACCTACAACTTACACTACACATACATAAATACAATTAAACTTGAAAAACACCAAATTTACACCAAAATTTGAGTCCAAACACCTTCTGCAACTTCTTTTTCCTCATTTGACCTCCCATGGAGAGTCGAAACTCATATGCGGAGTCATCGGAGCACCAGAATCCCAAGACCCCCAACATATAATGACAAATAAATGAACAATGAGAGATAAACATCCACGTACAAATCAATTTATGGTAGGATGAACACCCACACACTAACTCAAATTGATTTACGGAAACAAAAACAAACATGATTTTAGTTTTTTATTCGAATTTAGGATTCTGATTCTTAAGTTACCATTGAGAATAAAGATCACAAATGATTTCCATTGAGTTTATATTGAGGAAGAAGAACCAGAATGTTCTGGTTGTGACCGAAAAACCGAGATGGGAGGAAGTGGAGTTATAAGTACCCGAATCTGAAGATGTTCTCATCCAAGAATCAAATGAGTGCTTGTTCATAATGAAATCGAAGGCAGATCCTAATCGGATGAATTCGAATAGCCCTAGAAATTGTAAGTGCTTCCTGATGACATCGATGGAGGAGATCGGTCAAACTTCTTCTCCACCATGACACCATAAAATACCCTAAATGGGAGCGTCAAATTAAATGTCCAAAAAATCCAACTGTAAGTGTCACTATGTATCATAATTTGGTTTCTAGTTTTTATTTGGGTGAACGATGGAGCGATTAGCAGCTGACCGCAGCGTTTGCAGATGGGTGTTGGAGCTTAGCACCAATGCGTCCATGGCCATGGTTACTGACGCGCTGTCGGATCCGGTGGCAAGGTTCGAGGTCTGATTTTCTAGCCATGGAACCAAGACGTCGACGTAGAACTCCATTTGGGATTTTCCATAGGAGAGGAAGGTGGCTTGGTTGACTATTTCCTCAAGTGAGGGAAACAAAGGAGGGGAAGCGGGCGTCATAGAGAGAGAGAGAGAGAGAGAGAGAGAGAGAGAGAGAAAGAGAGAGAAAGAGAGAGAGAGAGAGAGAGAGAGACCCCTTTATAAATAAGAGAAAAAATTCATAAATGGCCCCTGTGGTGTGAAATGATGAAAATGTCATTCGGTTAACCGATAAAACTTAACGGAGTTAGCAATAAGGACCATCTGTCAAAAGTTTTGAAAGCACAGGGACCATTTATGAGATTTTTAAACCGCGAGGACTAAACTTCAGATTCTAGGAAAACATAGGGACCATTTACGATGTTTTTTCTTCAAAATATTATTTTGAATTTGACGGGCTAAAATTGAAAAAAATCATCTTCATGCTTTCCATTGATATTTTGATTTTTACTAAAATTGGAATTGATATTCAAATTAAACAGAAGTAATTTTCTTGGAATAAACCAATGTTTCTCTTCATATTTATGATTAAAGTCTCACAAACGTTGAAAAGAAAAGAACTTTCGGATCGGATATGAGTTCGTTTAGATTCCAATTTGTTCAAAATCATTTTACATGGGTAAAACCATAAAAGTGACCTCACATCTACAAATTTTATACTTCCATACATACATACCACTTGGAAGTTAGATAGAAAACAAGGTTGAATATATAACTTCTTGCCATAACAATAACAACTACAATATTAAAAAAAATTCCCAAACTTAAGTTTTTTTCATCACGAAATAAACGACACCAATCAAAACTCAACGAAAAAAACACGACGTGGGTGTTTTGATGCAAAACAGGTCTTCTACAACACACATTTTTGAAAAATTGATATGCCACAAACAACCACCACTGAATAAATGAAAGAATCCATGAAAAGAGCATAAAAACTGATTTTAAACAAAATCCCCAACTCAAAAGGCGTACCCAAATGGTCACCAATCTCACATTCATCAGATGAATATCCAACCCTTGATTAATATTGGATCATTCTCATAGCATCCATAACAAGTGGTCCAATTGTAATCACAACATTAAAGGAAAAAAGCAAAAGAAGTGGCCTTGAAAGTATAATGCTCTTTATGACATAGCTACCAAGAATCAGGAATCCGATATATGAAAGAAGGGTGATAATCCCCACAAAAAAGAAACATTTGCAAAGCTTGTCTTGGGTTGCTAAAATGGCCGGACCTAATCGACTAGGGCTTACAGTTTTGTGGACAGAGATTTTTAGGTCCGAATTTTGGATGGTTTCTTGGAGATGATTGTTTAGTAGGGTTGAATTGAGTTTTTGGATTCAATAGAAGATCTCAGTTTTATTTGCAAAATGAAATACTTGTCATAAATTTATTGTAGTAGTAGTTTTTAATGTTATTGTTACAATTATTTAAAGGTGAATCAATACGACTATATGAGAATTAAGCTAGCAAGATCAAAAGATTATAACTTCCACACATAGATGTCTAGATTAATACAGATTTTGGGTTAAATGCAAAAAATAACAATAGATTTTTATTTATTTGTTTATTAAATTAACCTACTTTGATTTTTTTTTCTTATTACGATATCGTACTTAAAAAATCTACCCTATTATAGTAATAACTGGGTAGATTTTTTAAAGTACAATACTGAAATTTTATGCTTTTCAAAATTTGATGGCTTAGTAACTTTTGCTTTATAATAGAAGGAAATGAAAGTATATTATATTTGGTCCTTCATTATGGGCAAAACTATCAATTACATAATGCATGATGTTCTCAAGAACACTTAAGCTTCTTTATTTTTATTTTTTTATTTTTGGCAATTTACGACATATATACAATGAGGGCAATTAAATTTTGATAAACCAAATAAATGATCTTTCATCCACACTCCTAATGTGCACAAAGTCCGACGTACGATGGTGAAATAGATCAGCATATAAATTATCACGTCAATCAGCGAGGTAATTAGATATTTACAATCAAGTCGCTAAAACGATGTAAAACAATGCACATGTGATGTGAGGTATAAAGAGTTAAAGATAGTTAAAATCTTATTGAATTTAGTTATAATTTTTTATTACAAAACAACTAGAAATGAAATTCCTCGAAAGAGTCTTCTAATCACAGATGAAACATGAAAAATGGTAAATACTAGATGAAAAACATACCATAGGGAAGGAGTTGATCGAGGTGGCAAGTAAGGGATGAAGAGCATGATTCTGTGTGAGAGTGGTGGGGTGGAGCGGAGCTGTAGATATATATTACAGGGGAGAATGTAGGTTTGGGGCACGACCTTCGGTGATCATAGCCAATCGGTGACCGATCCTTTCTCGACGATTTGCTGATGTCGTGCGGTTGGGTTGTCACTCGCTATCTTGTCGAAATTCGGGAGAATGTAGATAAAATTCTTAGGACGATTTCCTCAGCGGTCGTTACATATAGTGTGTACTGTCCATATTTTAGACAAAATTACATAAATGGTCCTAGTGGGTTACGAAAATTTACATCTTCAGTCCCTACTAATGTTTTTGATACAAAGGGTCCTTGTTGTTTCTAAACTTGCATGAATAGTCTATGTGGTTTCTAAAACATGTATTAATAGACTTTGTACTACATGAAATAACTTCTTTTACCATTTGCGAATGTGAAATATTTTTTGGGCATGTAGTATTTAGTATAATGTTATTATTTCTATCAAACGTATTGACAAATAGTTCGAATGATGTCAAAATATAGAGAATACTGTTAATAATTTTAGTTAAAAGTATAACCAAGAATTCATTTTTTTCCAAAAAAAAAATAAAAAATACTATTGTTATTTTTAGGATCCGCCGAGTAAAATTAGGTTTAGTTACAGGGAGGCTGACCAAGTACGTGGGGCGTATTGCTCCCTACGCAGGGGGTACCCTCGTAGATCCACAAGTCCAATATGTACATAATGGCTTAAGCACTTAAGCTCAAACATCAAATATATGGCTCAAAAGCACTAAAGAACCATAAACTCTCATACTTTAAGGTTTTGGTTGTCCAAAATGGGCTTAATGCATGGTCATAATCTATTAAGACCTCTTATTAGCAACATAAATCCAAACCAGCCAAAGAGACCTCATTTTTATAACTTAGAACCCTTCCTAAGGTCTGAAAGAACAACTCAGAATGTCCAAAATAAAGCATGCATAACAATGGGACTTTTGGGACAAGAAGAACACCAAAAAGCTACCAAAACAAGATCTAAACAATCCAAGCATAAAGGTAGAAGCTTTATACCTCCTGAAGCTTCCCAAGAAGATGATAATCCCATATCTACAAGCTTGCTTCCTTCCTTGACTCCTTTGATGCACTAACATCCCCTTCAACCATACAAGAAACACACTCTTAACTCACACACACACACACACATACTAGAGGAGTTAGGGTTTGCCAAAAATGATCCCGGAACTTGGAGGCTAAAAAAATAGGGGAAAAAGGGCCATAATGATGCTCAAATACTCCACAAACCCTAAAAGCTAGCGTTTCACCCAGACACTAGTATGCCTAACGTACATATGTGTACGCCTAGTGTACTCACATGTACGCCTAACATACTATTTATGCTCTAAAATTACCATTTTGCCACTAAGGCTTCCCATGGTCACTCCTTTCCAATCGATTGACTAAAAATGAAATAATTACAACCCAAGGGATGAATTTGAAATTACTTGAAGATTAGGGTCTTACAACTCTCCCCCACTTAAATTCGATTTCGTCTTCGAAATCTTTCCTTACCATCCCCGACATGCTCAACATCCTGAGGGACACAACCATAACCTTGATCACACCATCACCTTCCCAAGGCGACCAAACCCATCACAAAATTTCCAACCCGAAGAAAGCAAATCCATAATCCCACACAACAAACCAACCCTACTTCACCTAAAAATCTAAGGCTCCCACTAGAAAACAGAAATCGCAGATTAAACGTTGCTACCGAAAATTCTTTATTGGACAAAAGAGATTAGATACTCTTTCAAGAGGAAGCTCATTCTGATGACCAAATTTATAGGGATATAATGAACAACAGGAGACAAAATGGGAGATGACCCTTTTTAGTGCTGACAGGACAATGCTTCCTTTAGCTCCAGAACCAACATACATATAACAACCAGCTAACAAGTGCAGACACTCATACCTGGCCTAATCAGCCTCGAGATAGAATATTGGGCATTCCTATGATAAGTCCAGCCACTCGGTTCCCAGAACCTGGAAGACATGGAAATTCTAACTAAAAACAACCTTCGATTACACCATCGCGGTGACATTACACCTTCCGCCTAGAACTCGTGACTCGCACCTCAAACCAAAAGATTCTCCACTTACTTCATAGTATCCCAAAATATAGACCTTGCACGAATACACTCACGATTCCCAACGCAAGTTCCCACCATAAGCCATCTCGAAATGGCCATCCATGAATCCACCCTAAGTCTCTGACTGAAGATAACATAAAACATGTAGAAAAGATCCTCAAAACAAGTCAATAGTGAACCTCTCCCGATCCGAAACCATATGATGCACCAAAACCTTAAAATAACCTTTGACTCTCTACCATGCTATTACCAACCTCTAAACCGAAGAGAGAAGATGATCAAACCAAGAATTTTCCTCATTTCATCCAATCCCTAACGACAACTTGCGAATAAACAGAAATACAGAGTATACATTCCACAGATTCATTCTGATACCTAACTAGTACTTCCAACAACCCTTGACCACTCCCTATCCAAACCTAACTGATTTATGGGTCTTCCGATCCCCATCAATGTGTCAATACTGAGAGTATCACAAATAGATGAAATGAATAATCATAACCATTAGGCCTACAACCCATAACTGGAATACGCCTACCAGGTCCTCAACATAGGTCTGGAATGCTCCCAATCTCATACCAACCTTGTCGGTGTTACAACATTCGCTCAACACTCCATGCTGAAAGATACTCACCTCATTCCATTGCCTTGAATGGATCTTTACAACATCCCTCACAATCACCAATCGAGTACAACAATGTTA